CGCCCCAGCATACGAAATTTTCAGGATACGACATGAAATTCGAACATATTTTTGCTCCACGATACGAACAAAAACTCACCATACGACGTTACATTAGTTCGCATTTTTCATTTGTTTTTCTTACTACAGTTATTTTTTTTAATGTATTACTTGGCTTTAATTTGAGTATGTTTTTCGCGTTGGAACGAATTATTTGGTTTTACATGTAATCGTATGGGAAAAGATGATTCACCTTACGACATTTTCATGATACGATCTCAGTTTCGGAACGGATTAATTTCGTATCCTGAGGTACCACTGTATCTAAATTTTATATTCTTAAAGGCTGTTATGTCTGTAATTTCAATTTATTTCTTTATATATATATAATAGTAATTAAGCTTTTAATAATATACAAAATAGTGTCTTACCATGTGGATCTCTAACCAATGTATGTTTCAAAGAATAATAAATACCAATTTTTATAGTACCATAAGTTGCTTGGCGTAACAAAGCTGGACGGATCCTTCCAAAAACAAATAAACAAGTTTTATATTTAATTAAAATATTGAAATATATAATGCATAATTTTAAAAATTAAAATTTATTAATATTTTAAAGGCCCTTTAAGCAAGATTTTTAATATAAAATTTTATTAATTTGATACAATAATTTATTTTTCAGTAAATTATTTAGTAAAAATTAATAACAACAAACAATTTACTTAAAAGTAAATTGTATGTTATTATTTTATCAGTGATTTTTAACTGTAGTTATTCCACATTTTAAAATTATTTTTAAAATATTCTATGAAATTTAACAGTAATTAATAAGTTCAAATATAATTTAAAATGGCTTTTGTCTTTAATCATTTATAAACGATTAAATTGTAGTTTAAATTTTCTTGAAAACTGATTAATACAATCTTTCTACACTGATTTAATTTATAAAATTTTTCTAATAATTACATATTTAATATAATTAATTTAAGAGATGGCAACATGCCTAGTTGAACTACCAAATTATCTGAATTAATAAATAATTTAATAACCAAACAATGTGCTGAAATTTTTATCAAATTATTAACTATTTTATTTTTACTTCACAATTCTGATAAATGTGGTATCCCTTATATTTTATTTACTTATGAAATTTTTGTATTAAAAAAACAAAACTAGTTTCAATTAAGAATAAAATAAATCTCAGTAGAAGTAAACAAATATATATAAATAAAAAATCTGAAAATTTGTATTTACAAAACATTATTTTAAACCATAAATCTAGATAGGTTATTTAAGATTTAAAATTAAAACACATTAACAATAATATGCATAATTATTCAGATAATTTAATATTTTAAAATACAACAATGAATATAAAAATTTTGTTTTGAATACAGTTCAAAATATTTTAATGATTCAAGTTAAATTATTATGTTCATACATCTGAGTACAGGTAACCACCGTATAACACGGTAGTTACCTTCCAGAAAATTGCTGTGTTATGCGAATCCGTGTTATACAAAACAAAGAACTAGTGCAAAAAGGGGAGTTAGGTTCCAAAAATTAAAAAACATGTTGTTAAATCCTTATTTAGATCAGATTTATTATTCATTTTTTTTTCATAGGTAAAATACTTATTTATTATTTAAGTAAATATTTTACCAGAGGATTATTCATTTTATATGATGATCTCAGCATGAGCATCATAAACTGGTAATAGTTTGTGGGTGCGTTTGTTAATAGCGGTTGCTCTGCAACGGGAGTGCGCTGTCGTTTGTAGGCATTTAGGAACGACGGTGAAAGAAAGATGGCTGCGCCCGCACTATCGATAGTATCAGGTGGAGGAATCTATAATTCTAAAATGAGCTTTGAGAGGCAAAAGAAGGGTCCCAATTGTAAAATTTAACCATTAAATGGATTATTTTTTCAAAGAGCATTCAAAGTAGCCATGAAAACAATTAGAATGCTCACACGGAGTTACACGGAGGTGTAATAAAGGGTGCGTTCTTTTATATTTTATATTTTACGAGGGTTTTCCAAAATCCCGAACCGTGTTACAGTGAACCCATGCTATAAAAGCACTGTGTTATACGGGGGATGTTCCCAATTCTCGAACCATGTTAGAGTGAATCCGTGCTATAGAAATGCCGTGTTATACGGGGGTTACCTGTATCTGCTTACTCAATCATTTAAATGTTTATCAATGTTAATTAATATTAATCATATTTTATAATTGTTATAAATTTAGTGTTATCTGTTTAATAATAAACAAATATTTCAAAACAGTTAAAACAAAAAAAAAAAAAAATATTGAAAAGGAATTTTAAATGTGATGAAATTAATCCACAACAATGGGTGCAAACAAAAATACAAAATATTTTCTTGTAGGCATTTGTAAGAGCCAAAGTTTTTATACTCTTGTCAAAGAATTTCCACCAGAAAAATTATTAAAATGGAAACATAAGGAAAACTATACAGTAGTGAAAGAAACATATACTGAAATGTTTCTGAATGAGGGACCATCCAATCCTCTTATCAAGAGATTAACATATTAACAGTGAAAATAACTTATCTAAATCAGGATGGCTAAAAAAAAAAACTGTAGTAAGTGAACAGTAAGTGAAGATTTTCACCAATGTATTAGAATTCTGTAAATTTGTATAAATTATATCATTTTGAGTAATTTTTTAGTAGAAACTACAAAAATTGGTTAACTAAATTTTAGACCACCTGTCTATGTATACTGGCAAAAAGCGAGAATGATGCCTATGTGAGTGTATATGTGAGTGTGCAAATAAATACATAAATACTGACATACATTAATACAATTATATGAATTTGTTTCTAACTTTTGAAAATTTAAACAATTTATGTTTTGTTAAAAATATCAGGATATAAAATGAAAACATACAAAAAAAACTTTAAAAATAATAATTTATCCTCAAAAACTTATTTATTTTCCTCAAAAGATATTCAGCTATGATAAATGTAGCAAAATTCAAAGCCTGTTTTTTGCCAAATTATATATGTGATTCTACTAATAGTCTTAAGAATGGTATGTGTATTTTTAATAAATCTTTTATAGGGATATGTCAACAAAATGACAATGATAAAATTGAAACCAATATAAAATTATGNTGTTGTTTTCCCAAGTTTTTCTCCATTTGATTAAACTTATCTATCCGGAGTTGTCCTGTTAAGTTTTTATATTGTTGTTCATGTTTTGTATCGTAATGCCTTTTTATGTTATATTCTTTTAATGTCGACACAGTCTCTGAGCATATTAAGCATACAGCTTTATCTTCGACGAAAGTGAAAAAATAATCAAATTTCCACTTTTCTTGGAAATGCCTGTGCTCATTCGCAACCTTCTGTTTTTTTGTTTGCTTTTCTGACATGCTATTATGGACTAAAAATTTGAAAGTTAAAAAAATTTGTAGGAAAACTTAATTTTGAATAAAAAAACTCTATTACCTTTTTGACAATAATATTGCACTCACGCCTTTCAAGAAACACAAGAATTGCTAAAATTGCTAGTTAACAGCTTACCAGTCTGGCTAATTGTGTGACAGAAGCAAACACAAACAAGCACAGACGTGGCGCGTTCGTATTGCATGTTTGACAACTTGCCGACAACTGAGTAACTCGTCACAAAAAGTTGTTTCGGTTTAGTATGTACTACCATTTTATTATAAATAATTTTATAACAATATATTGATGGCAGAAAGTCGATAAAATAAATTCGATTTTAAAAATGCTTGGCGGGCCGCATCAACATGTTTAACGGGCCACAAGTGGCCTGCGTGTTGCTCATCCCTGGTTTATATGGATTATTCCCAAAAAATTATACGTGTTTTGGAAATATTGAGTCGAGTTAGTCTAGAATTGATTAATTTTATGGAAGGAAACCTTTCAAACAGCCGTTGTTCATAAACTTCACATGTGTCAGGCTGTGATTGGCTCATGTATTTAAGGATTCCTACAACGTGAAATTCGTATAACGGGGAACGTATCTACGCATTATAAGGGGTCTACTGTACTAAGCTTTCCACTTTTTGAAACAAGAAGCTATTTGGAGAAATGATTTATTGAACAAGTTAGTTTTGTTGCTAAAATATTTCAGTTCATAGTTTCCAAAGCTTTTTTCTTATTTGTATTTTTTAAAATTGTTCTAATTTTGAGCATTGCCAAACTGAAAGAGGCATACATAACAACTTGATGCTAATCAGTTTCCAATCAATGTAATACTTGTAATTTCATATCCAGAGAAATGTTTTCCTTTGTATTTTTGAACCATTCATCACTTTTTCATTCTTTCTGATATAATAGGTAGCATGCACTAAATGTATATGACAGAAGTTAACTAAATAAATTACCATAAATGTCTGATTGAACCTGTCAAATGACATGTGACCTGTAAGTTGCCATAAAGACAAACAACTTTAAGAGGGTAAGAATGTAATTACAGTCGACCCCCCTATAACACAGTAGATATGTTCCGTGTTTTATAAAATTCATTTTCTATGAGTCCTTAAATACATGAGTCAATCACAGCCCGGCACGTATGCAGTTTACAGACTACGGCTGTTCGAAAGGTTTTCTTCTATAAAATTAATTGATTCTAGACTAATTTCACTCAACATTTTCAAAATACGTATAATTTTTTGGGAATAATCCATATAAACTATGCTATAAACAAAACATTGTAGGATTACTTACCGAGTGTGCACCGTTTGACGATGCCATTGCTTAAGCTTGTTTTTGTTGCGGAGCAGTGCATCGAACAGTGGGTGCGTGTTTCCTGATAAATTATTTTTCTGAGAAAAATTTGCTAAACTTTGGAGACATCATTAATATAAATATAATTTTTAAATAATAAATGGTTTTTAGTAGGTCCGCTGCTCATTTAAACTCAATGGTTTGTGCAATATCTGCTATTGGTCTAGATTCGACCAATCCTATTGCAACACAAGTCAGCAATAACGTTTTACCATATCATATGAGTCTCTTTTAGTGTTTTTATATGAATACGATCACAATTTTTTCGCCATTATATACAAATCCATATTATATGAACCTGTTTTATAGGGGGTCTACTGTATTTTATTATATTGAAAATAATTAATATTTAGAGAGAGATACTGAATCACTTATTGAAAATGGAAAATGTATAATTGTCAAGTTAGAGAAGTTTACAACAGTTTATTGTAAAAAATGTTTTCAGCATATTAGAAAAATGAAAAAAGAATGACGATTGAATTGAAAAAAAAATGCATGACGAAAAATTTTAATTTGATAAGCTATTTCATACTATATTTAAAGATATAAAATACAGTGGTACCTCAGGTTACGAACGCCCCAGCATACGAAATTTTCAGGATACGACATGAAATTCGAATATATTTTTGTTCCACGATACGAACAAAAACTCACCATACGACGTTACATTAGTTCGCATTTTTCATTTGTTTTTCTTACTACAGTTATTTTTTTTAATGTATTACTTGGCTTTAATTTGAGTATGTTTTTCGCGTTGGAACGAATTATTTGGTTTTACATGTAATCGTATGGGAAAAGATGATTCACCTTACGACATTTTCATGATACGATCTCAGTTTCGGAACGGATTAATTTCGTATCCTGAGGTACCACTGTATCTAAATTTTATATTCTTAAAGGCTGTTATGTCTGTAATTTCAATTTATTTCTTTATATATATATAATAGTAATTAAGCTTTTAATAATATACAAAATAGTGTCTTACCATGTGGATCTCTAACCAATGTATGTTTCAAAGAATAATAAATACCAATTTTTATAGTACCATAAGTTGCTTGGCGTAACAAAGCTGGACGGATCCTTCCAAAAACAAATAAACAAGTTTTATATTTAATTAAAATATTGAAATATATAATGCATAATTTTAAAAATTAAAATTTATTAATATTTTAAAGGCCCTTTAAGCAAGATTTTTAATATAAAATTTTATTAATTTGATACAATAATTTATTTTTCAGTAAATTATTTAGTAAAAATTAATAACAACAAACAATTTACTTAAAAGTAAATTGTATGTTATTATTTTATCAGTGATTTTTAACTGTAGTTATTCCACATTTTAAAATTATTTTTAAAATATTCTATGAAATTTAACAGTAATTAATAAGTTCAAATATAATTTAAAATGGCTTTTGTCTTTAATCATTTATAAACGATTAAATTGTAGTTTAAATTTTCTTGAAAACTGATTAATACAATCTTTCTACACTGATTTAATTTATAAAATTTTTCTAATAATTACATATTTAATATAATTAATTTAAGAGATGGCAACATGCCTAGTTGAACTACCAAATTATCTGAATTAATAAATAATTTAATAACCAAACAATGTGCTGAAATTTTTATCAAATTATTAACTATTTTATTTTTACTTCACAATTCTGATAAATGTGGTATCCCTTATATTTTATTTACTTATGAAATTTTTGTATTAAAAAAACAAAACTAGTTTCAATTAAGAATAAAATAAATCTCAGTAGAAGTAAACAAATATATATAAATAAAAAATCTGAAAATTTGTATTTACAAAACATTATTTTAAACCATAAATCTAGATAGGTTATTTAAGATTTAAAATTAAAACACATTAACAATAATATGCATAATTATTCAGATAATTTAATATTTTAAAATACAACAATGAATATAAAAATTTTGTTTTGAATACAGTTCAAAATATTTTAATGATTCAAGTTAAATTATTATGTTCATACATCTGAGTACAGGTAACCACCGTATAACACGGTAGTTACCTTCCAGAAAATTGCTGTGTTATGCGAATCCGTGTTATACAAAACAAAGAACTAGTGCAAAAAGGGGAGTTAGGTTCCAAAAATTAAAAAACATGTTGTTAAATCCTTATTTAGATCAGATTTATTATTCATTTTTTTTTCATAGGTAAAATACTTATTTATTATTTAAGTAAATATTTTACCAGAGGATTATTCATTTTATATGATGATCTCAGCATGAGCATCATAAACTGGTAATAGTTTGTGGGTGCGTTCGTTAATAGCGGTTGCTCTGCAACGGGAGTGCGCTGTCGTTTGTAGGCATTTAGGAACGACGGTGAAAGAAAGATGGCTGCGCCCGCACTATCGATAGTATCAGGTGGAGGAATCTATAATTCTAAAATGAGCTTTGAGAGGCAAAAGAAGGGTCCCAATTGTAAAATTTAACCATTAAATGGATTATTTTTTCAAAGAGCATTCAAAGTAGCCATGAAAACAATTAGAATGCTCACACGGAGTTACACGGAGGTGTAATAAAGGGTGCGTTCTTTTATATTTTATATTTTACGAGGGTTTTCCAAAATCCCGAACCGTGTTACAGTGAACCATGCTATAAAAGCACTGTGTTATACGGGGGATGTTCCCAATTCTCGAACCGTGTTAGAGTGAATCCGTGCTATAGAAATGCCGTGTTATACGGGGGTTACCTGTATCTGCTTACTCAATCATTTAAATGTTTATCAATGTTAATTAATATTAATCATATTTTATAATTGTTATAAATTTAGTGTTATCTGTTTAATAATAAACAAATATTTCAAAACAGTTAAAACAAAAAAAAAAAAATATATTGAAAAGGAATTTTAAATGTGATGAAATTAATCCACAACAATGGGTGCAAACAAAAATACAAAATATTTTCTTGTAGGCATTTGTAAGAGCCAAAGTTTTTATACTCTTGTCAAAGAATTTCCACCAGAAAAATTATTAAAATGGAAACATAAGGAAAACTATACAGTAGTGAAAGAAACATATACTGAAATGTTTCTGAATGAGGGACCATCCAATCCTCTTATCAAGAGATTAACATATTAACAGTGAAAATAACTTATCTAAATCAGGATGGCCTAAAAAAAAAAACTGTAGTAAGTGAACAGTAAGTGAAGATTTTCACCATTGTATTAGAATTCTGTAAATTTGTATAAATTATATCATTTTGAGTAATTTTTTAGTAGAAACTACAAAAATTGGTTAACTAAATTTTAGACCACCTGTTTATGTATACTGGCAAAAAGCGAGAATGATGCCTATGTGAGTGTATATGTGAGTGTGCAAATAAATACATAAATACTGACATACATTAATACAATTATATGAATTTGTTTCTAACTTTTGAAAATTTAAACAATTTATGTTTTGTTAAAAATATCAGGATATAAAATGAAAACATACAAAAAAAACTTTAAAAATAATAATTTATCCTCAAAAACTTATTTATTTTCCTCAAAAGATATTCAGCTATGATAAATGTAGCAAAATTCAAAGCCTGTTTTTTGCCAAATTATATATGTGATTCTACTAATAGTCTTAAGAATGGTATGTGTATTTTTAATAAATCTTTTATAGGGATATGTCAACAAAATGACAATGATAAAATTGAAACCAATATAAAATTACGCAGAGTGTAATTAAATCATTCCAATTTCTCTCTATTACTAATTAATAAAAAGCTTTATCAATGTTTTGACAACTAAATATTTTAAATAAAATTTTACACAAAAATTTTAAAAAACTGTAGACAATATTCCAAAGATAATGTTTATATTTGAATATAAACTGATTTCATTAAATCAGTTCATATTCAAAAATAACTAGTCATTGAATATGAAAT